CCTGTTGGTGGGGGCGTGGGCGCCTCATGGCGTCATGATGAGCCCGTGGTGGGGTGTGGGAGCCCCATGACATGCTGGGAGCCCCGTGGTGGGGTGTGGGAGCCCCATGGGCATGCCTGGGAGCAGACCGACAGGTCACGGCTCAGTGTGCGTGTTCCCTAGCATTTGTAGCATTTGCAGGGAACTAACAGTCAGGAGGCAGCCTGGCCTTCCCACTGCCACTGTCACACGACGCCCTGTGCTACAGCAGCGCCGCCTCCTGCCCTGACCACGTGCTCGTCCCACATCCAGGGCGTGCTGCAGCCCATGCCTGCCCATCCGTGCTGCTGGAGGGCCTGCACGGGGTTCCTGAGAGACCAGGGCGTTACTTCTCGCAGCAGTGGAGGCTGGGAGTCCAGGATCAGCGAGTGCACACCCAGGGGGAGGCGGAAGGGCAAAGGGGCTTCGTCATGGGGGCCTTCGCCCCACTCCCGGACGACCCCGAACCCCTGTTCCTGATGCGCCTGCTTTGGAGACGATGTTTTGATGTGAGCTTTTCTCTTTCTCTTTCTCTTTCTCTTTCTCTTTTTCTTCCTTTCTTTTTTTTTTCTGCAAAGACAGGTCTTCCAACTGCTGGCTCACTCTCCCCGGATACCACAGCAGCCAGGCTGGCCAGGCTGGGGCAGGTCTCTCTCCCCTGTGGATGGAAATCCTTCAGCCGTCACCTGCTGCCTCCCAGGGCGCACGAGCAGGAAGCAGGAACTGGGGGCACAGCGGGATTCTAATCCGGGCACTCTGATATGCGACGCAGGCGTCCCAGTGTGTGTGTGTGGGGGGGGTCTAACCCCTAGGCTAACCACCACCTCAGCAGAGTCTGGAGCACACGCAAGCTCCAGTGCCTGTCACAGCTGCCTTAGCGCGACGCTGCCTCCTACACGGTGAAACGTGCCTCGTTCTGTGCCGCGCTCCAGACTCCCTTAGCAGAGCACCCTCCCGAAAGCCATCAGGAGAGAACGGATTCCGGGCCGAGGCAAAAATAAATGCCACGCGCAGATCAAATCCGCACCACGCCATCACTAGCCCTGGGGACTCCCATCACCCAACCGGAAATAAGGCCAGGACAGGTGCGCACAAGCGAGACACAGCTCCCTTCCCTCGGCCAAGGGAGACAGCCTCGCGGTTCCCCCGTGGAAGTGAGGAAATCGTTGTAAGGAACAGACAAAACCGGTCTTCACTTGAAAAAAAAGAATCACTAACCTGATCCTAAGAGCAGCCAATAAAACTGCCAAGACCGCGGCAGACTGTCCAGCCACTGTCTCCCGGCAAGCAGGAAAGGGCTGAAAACCCTCGGCCGGTGCCAGCGACGTGTGATTTAAGAGGGGAAATGCTTGCAGGCTTAGGAGTCCTTTGCAGGGAGCCTGGAAGCCGGCTGCTGGTTGGAAGAAATCTACATTCCCCGGAATCCAGGCTCATTTCTCTCTGGGAACCACCAGGAAGTGAAGCCCAGACACAGAGACTTTCGGGGTCCCTGGAGCGGGCAATGAATCAGAGCAAAATGAAACCTGGAGCAAGTCGCCGGCAATTCATCACGGCACCGTCCCCGCTCCACAGGGGTCTGAGACCCACACGTCTGCAGGGAACAGGCACGGGTCCGGGAAGCCCTCCCCAGCCCTCGGCTACGTCTCCGAGAACACAGGCTTGGTTCTCCACGGCCAGGGCTTGATGACGGAGCTGCTACTTCCGGGTGTCTGCCGTGCGTCTGCTCCTCATGTCTGCTGCTGTCCCGAGGCCTGTCTATAAGAGATGGCACCCAGGAAACAGCGTGCATGCTCCCTGCTCCCTCACTGTGGCAAAACTGCCGTGTTGGTGCCAACTGTAGTTTTGAGCAGGGGGCGCTCAGCCATGTGGTCCCTTTGGATGGGGGAGGGAGGGAAGAAAGGAGGGATGGGGTGCCCTACCCTGCCAGACATGGTCCTGTCACGCATCCTGGGGGCAGCAGTGTGTGGCCATCGCTAGCAGCGGGGCAGCTGGAAGGCCTCAACTGCCCTCCTGTGTTTCGGGAAGTCTTAAAAGTTGCTGGAAGGATGCTCCATGAAACCCACTCCCGGGCCGGGCAGCGTGCAAAGGTGGGCAGCCATAAACCCTGCCCCGGGGCCTGCCCCGTCCCACGCAGAGCCCCAGAGGTGTCCGGTGCCCAGCTTTTTTTTTTTTTTTTTTGACAGGCAGAGTGGACAGTGAGAGAGAGAGAGACAGAGAGAAAGGTCTTCCTTTGCTGTTGGTTCACCCTCCAATGGCCACCGCAGCCGGCGTGCTGCGGCCGGCGCACCGTGCTGACCCAATGGCAGGAGCCAGGTGCTTCTCCTGGTCTCCCATGGGGTGCAGGGCCCAAGCACTTGGGCCATCCTCCACTGCACTCCCTGGCCACAGCAGAGAGCTGGCCTGGAAGAGGGGCAACCGGGACAGAATCCGGCTCCCCGACCGGGACTAGAACCCGGGGTGCCGGCGCCACAGGCGGAGGATTAGCCTAGTGAGACGTGGCGCCGGCCCAGTGCCCAGCTTTGAGGAGGCCACAGGAAGGCACTTCCCCCACCCCAACCCCCATCTCTCCCATGGCCCCCGTCAGCAGATGTGTGCTGCGCACATGGCCCGTGACCGTCACACACCCAGAAGTGGCACCAGGAAGCCAGGCATCAGAATACATCTGTTCCCAGCAGAAGTGGGTTCCGTGGTGTAATGGTTGGCACCCTGGACCACGAATGCCCACTGACCACTGCACGCTCCTGCAGAGGCCTGCGGCTTGGACCTCCCTCGTCCCCACTCCTAACCCCACACCTTCCTTCATGAGAGCTGTCTTCATCTGTGTCCAGGACGGTGCCCCAGGGCGTGGGTGGCAGTTTTGAGTTTGCTTCCACCTTGGCATTGCAGCAAGACATGATGGGTAATCTTTTCATTTTATTTCACAAAGACACAGAGGGAGAGAAACGGGGACTCAGGTGGTTCACTCCCCAAATGTTCGCACTGACCAGGGCTCAGTCAGACCAGAGTCAGAAACCTGGAGGCCGGCGCCGCGGCTCACTAGGCTAATCCTCCGCCTTGCGGCACTGGCACACCGGGTTCTAGTCCCGGTCGGGGCACTGGATTCTGTCCTGGTTGCCCCTCTTCCAGGCCAGCTCTCTGCTGTGGCCCAGGAAGGCAGTGGAGGATGGCCCAAGTGCTTGGGCCCTGCACCCGCATGGGAGACCAGGAGAAGCACCTGGCTCCTGCCATTGGATCAGCGCGGTGCGCCGGCCGTAGCGCGCCGGCTGTGGCAGCCATTGGAGGGTGAACCAACAGCAAAAGGAAGACCTTTCTCTCTGTCTCTCTCTCTCTCCCTCACTGTCCACTCTGCCTGTCAAAAAAGAAAAAAAAAAAAAAAGAAAGAAACCTGGAACTCCATCCGGGTCTCCCATGTGGGTGGCAGAGACCCAAGCACTTGGGCCATCTTCTGCTGCCTTCCCAGGTGCATTGGCAAGGAGCTGGATCGGAAGTGGAGCAGCCAGGACTGGAACCGGCGCTCACAGGAGGTGCTGGCGACACGGGTGGTGATTCAGCAGCTGTGCCACAGCGCCAACCCCTCGTACTCATCTTGGGTGCCCGAGTCTGGAACACCGTAGGTGCTGGGTGCCCAGAGTCTGGAACACCATAGGTGCTGGGTGCCCGGAGTCTGGAACACCGTAGGAGCTGGGTGCCCGGAGTCTGGAACACCGTAGGTGCCGGGTGCCCAGAGTCTGGAACACCGTAGGAGCTGGGTGCCCGGAGTCTGGAACACCGTAGGTGCTGAATGCAGGTTCCTAAAACAAACGCATGGATGTCTTCTGCATGGCCTTTTGCTGCCAGGATCTCAGAGGAACATTCAGTGATACCAAATCTGACCCACCTGGGGAGTCCAAGGAAACAAACCGACTCACAGGTAACCAGGTCCCTTTGGAGATGTAAGAGGGACTGAGAACAAGCTGACAGGCCACCCCATACCCACGGCCGTCCATCTGTCCGTCCACCCAGCACAGACCCACTGCCCCGACTACAGCGTCCACAGCGTCCGTGTCCTAGAAGCCCAAGCATTTGCCATCTGGAGAAACACAGAAGCATGATCCACAGTCACCCTGCTCGGTCACGGAGCCCAGGAAAACGGAGCCCCTGGCCGTCCACCCACCAAAGTAAAACACAATAAACTTGGTAAAGCGGCGAAACCGAGTCCGTGAAACACGAAGCCTCAAGAATCTCGTTCCATTTATTTAAATGATTGCTTTTCAAGAAAAACACCTTGCACGTTTGTTTTCTTTTAGGATCACGGAGAGTGGAAAGAGCTTTCCAGAGCGATGTGGAATCCACCGCTTTTTCCTCCGTTGGGAAGGGACAGCTTTCTGGGTCTTTACGAAGTGACAGGGGAAGGCAGAGCTGGTACTGGAGTAGAGCGACTTTTACCCTAGGCACACTGGGGCGGGTTAGCTGCACATGATTGCTTCCTCTCTGCCCCCGGGCAGCTCCCTCCTCCCAGCCTGTTCTCCCGACACCCCCTCACTTTCAGGTCCCGCCTGACCCTGGGGTCGGTCTCCTGATGTCTTAAAGTGGTAAAGTCAGCGCACTTACGGAAGCAAGAACTGGAGCGCTCACTCCCGACAGCTCTTCTCCAACTCTGTGTTACTGCACCCAGCTCTTTTTCAAAATTCTTAATGTATTTGCTTTTCATTTTATTTGAAACACACAGAGACACAAAGAGAGACAGAGTGACAGAGCGACAAAGAGAGTGACAGAGCGAGAGCGAGAGTGAGAGAGCGAGAGAGAGAGAGAAAGAGAGAATCTTCCACCTACTGGTTAACTCCCCAAAAGCCCCAACAGCCAAGGCTGGGCCAGGCTGAAGCCGGGAGCCTGAACTCCACTCCCAGGTGGAGTGTCTCCCACGTGGGTGACAGGAGCCCAGGCACTGGGGCCATCACTTGTTACCTCCCACAGTGTCCGTCAGCAGGAAGTTGGAACACGGGGCGGAGCCAGGGCTCGAACCCAGGGCTTCCCAAGAGGCGTCCTCACCACTGCACCAGATGCCAGCCCCACTCATTTTCTGGGCTCAGAAAGACTTCTTGGGAGCAGCCCCTGCCACCGCCACATGCTCCCCCCTGCAACAGAGTGCAGGCGCAGCCTCTGTGCCAGGTGCTCTGTGTGGTCCCAGGTCCGCTCCCCGGTCCTCGCGTGAGTGATGTGACCTGGCCAGTGCTCAGGGAGTTGTCAGGAGTGGGAGGCCAGCACAGCCGCTGACACGGGAGACCAGTTCCTGCAGCAGTGACGCACGCACACAGCCCACGACATGGCGGGGTTCCTTAACACTCTCACTGTTCCCAAGTGGGAGAGTCCCCACCCCAAGGTGCTGAGACACCGACGGGGTTGGATGACACCGGCCCCACCCACAAGCTGCCTAAGAAAGCAAGGGGGAGGTATCCTGGACCCCGCCCCACGGAAGCCCCAGGAAGAGCGGCCCCTCCCCAGAGAGGCCACTCTGGGACCTGTCAGACCACCCCAAACCTGTCCACTCCAGCCTGCGTCATCCCCAATCCTGCCACCACATGCCCACGTTGCTCTGTCTTGGTTCTGTTAGCAGGATGTGCCAGCGGGGCTGCTGGGCAGACAACCACGCTTACTAGACAGCCGGACAGACAGAGCGCGCTGGAGGAAAGCCAGCCGTCACCCCGTGTCCCACCTCCCGTGCTGCAGCGGCTCTGAGTGCCCGCCGTGCCACCTCCGCCCGTGGGGCCCCCTCCTGACACCGCAGGTGTGCTGCAAAGCCCTCACTTCCCTTCCTCGCCCTCTGCCATTCCCAAAGCACCATCTCCCTCCTCTGAGAGCCTCCACCCTGCACTGATGTCCCCTCGTCCCTCTACACCCCAACCCCTTGCAGAAAAACCAGAGTGTAGCCCTGATCACACACTCCTGCCTGGGGCCCCTTGGCGGGGTCCCTTAGACTTGAAACAGAACCTAGAGCCCATCCACACATCTGCCCTCCATGGCTACACAGCAGCACTGGACTTTGTGCCCTCGCTCTCACCCCAGGGCCTTGGTACCTGCTGTTCCCTCTGCTGGCTGTGTCTGCACCCTGGATCCTGGATCCCTCACACCATGCAGGGCTGGCTTCTCTCCCCAGCCTCACTGAGGCTTGATTCCACCCACATCTGAAACCACCCAATGTCTTCCCTCTCCAGTGGACCGTGGAACTCTGAGCCTGGAGCGGCACCCGGCCCTCAGCTACCCTCAGTTACAGCACACTGGGGTGCACTGCTCAGAGCCGGGTTTGACCCTGAGCTCTGCCAATCATCGACTGTGTGGCCCACGGTGAAGTATTTCCCTCTCTTGAGACTCAAACTCCTTCCGCTGAGTCACAGGGGACCAGGGCTGTGAGGAGAGACCAAGGAGTACCCGCCACACACACTCCTTGGACACAGTGTGTCTCAAGGACACACTGATAGTCTCTGCGGTCACTGTCTTTTTTTTTTAATTATTAATTTTTTATAGGAGAGACACAGAGACAGAGGTCTTCCATCATCTTCGAATGGCTGCAAGAGCCAGGGCTGGGCCAGGACTAAGCCAGGAGCTTCATCCGGGTCTCCCATGTGGATGCAGGGGCCCAAGCATTTGGGTCATCTTCCACTGCTTTCCCAGGTGCATTAGCAGGGAGCTAGATCGGAAGTGGAGCAGCCAAGATTCGAACCGGCGCCCTTCTAGGATGACAGTCTGCCGACCAGGGCTTTAACCTGGCCCCACTGCAGCACGATCTAGTGTCCAGGAGCGAGGCCTCTCACCCAAGGACTTCCTTTCAGAGCAGAGCAGCACAGGGCGTGTCTGGGAGGGGGTCTCCTCCAACCCCCTACCCCGGCAGCACCCCCAACTTTTTCTGGAAGAATAAGGAAACCTCCCACTTAGTGCCCCCAGAGAAGGGCCTATCGGATGAGGCACGTGCGGGCCCAGGCAGCCCGCACCTGTCGGAGGGCTCGTGGACGTGTGGCTTCCTTGTGCTCCTGTCTTGGGCCCCTGATAGGGAAGGGCTGGGTGTGTTCCAATCCTCGCCCCATGGTAGCCACGCCCCTCCCCGGGGGAGGGTGGGAGGCTCCCAGCCGCCTGCGCTCTGGCCCACCCTGTTTTAACAGAAGTGGCTTCCAGCTTATTCACAGCTGTGCACCTGTTCCAGAAAGCAGCCGAGGCTGCTGAGGGGAGGGGTGTGCGACTGCCTCGCGGTCTGAACAAAGCAAACACAAGCCGGCTCAGAGCTTCGCTCTGCCGGCTGTGGGTGAGGCGTGGGGCGGGGTGGGCATTCTGTGTGGTCCCCCCAGGGAGCAGGGCGGGGTTTGAGGAAGCAGGGGAAGGTCGCAGGTAAGCTGAGGCTGGGACACCAGTGTCCCTCTGGGCAGGGCTGGCCAGGGGTGGCTGGACATCGCCACGGAGCTCTTCTTGCGGTACAACCGTAGATGTCCTGGGGCTGCATCTGCTGTCACTGAGGGAGAATTTACGAAAGTCAACCCAAATCCTAGTGGGTGTGCAATCTGGGGGGGGGGGCGGTCTGGCTGGGAGAGCATGACGCTGGCGGAGAGGGAGGACGGAGGGGCAGGGAGGGGGTGCGGCCCCGGGCACAGGGGACCTGGGGGAAGGAGGAGACCAGAGACGGGGCTGGGAGCAGCAGCCATGGCGAGAAGGGACCCAGCCCAGCATGGAACCCAGCCCAGGAGACGGAGGAAGCCTGGGGCACCGGAGCGAGTTCCCGACCCAAGCCCAGGTGCTTCTGCCTGCGCTGCTGCTTCCTTGGTCCACGGTCAGTGGAAGACACCTTCCTCCGACACTTTCTCTGGCACTTCCTAAGTTAATTCACAGCTCTTCTGCCAATCTCACCATCTATCACTTAGCCGCGGGCACAATGTGTTCTGTCTTGGGTGCCCTGGGCAAGCCACAGGCAGAGCTGAGCAGTGGAACACTGTGCTACGAGAGAGAGCGCCCAATGACCCTGTCCAATGTGGGGGCCGCAGAGTCCCCACGGGCACCGCCCAACACGGGGGCCACTGATCATAGAGTCTCCACGGGCACCGCCCAACACGGGGGCCACTGATCACAGAGTCCCCACAGGCACTGCCCAACACAGAGGCCACTGATCACAGAGTCCCCACAGGCACTGCCCAACACAGAGGCCACTGATCATAGAGTCCCCACAGGCACTGCCCAAGGTGGAATCCACCAGCCAAAGCAGCTAACTAGCACGTGAAACGTGCTGAGTTCTGAGCCAGCTGTTTCTAAATGTTACTTCCTCTTAATTTCTCGGAGTACGTGTACCAGAACGGTAACGGGGACCGGACACAGCTCTACGTAAGGCATATGATATGTAGCAGAACTTCACACAGTACATCACACTGGCAACACCTGCTGCCGCATTGTGCAGAACAAGAGAGTGAGGGACTGGCTCGGTGGTCGAGTGGGTTAAGGTGCTGCTTGGGACACTGGCTTCCCGTATCAGAGAGCCACTGCTATTGGCCAGTCCCGGCTAATGCACCTGGGAAAGCAGCAGCAGATGACCCAAGTGCTGGGGCCCTGCACCCACGTGGGAGACCCAGAAGGAGCTCCTGGCTCCTGGCTTCAGCCTGGCCTTGGCCAGGTCGTTGTGGCCATTTAGGGGAGTGAACCAGCAGATGTAATCTCCCCCCCCCCCAACTCTGCCTTTCAAACAAACAAAATAAAATATTTTTAAAAAATTGCCCGTGTTCCACATCAGAGTGCCTGGATTCGCTTCCTGCTAATGCAGACCCTGGGGGCAGCAGGGATG